AGCAAGGTTCAGCTGCTAGGGAAGCAGGAAGAAATATGTGGAATTTGCTGTTTGTATAAAACAGGTAAGGAAATTTACTATTTCTCTAAGTCAGGATTTCTCAACCTCGGCACAACTGACAGTTTGGGCCTGATAATTCTTTTTTGAAGGTGCGGGGGTAGGGAGGTGGGGAAGGTGCTGTCCTGTCCAATGTAGGATGTTTAGCAGCATCCCCGGTCTCTACCCACTAGATGCTAGACCTATAGAACTATCTATATGGGATCAAATTGACAATAGCAACTCAAAAGATTAGACAGGAACCTTTGGGGGCAGTGAGTTATGTTAATGAGGGAGGAACAACTCAGAGAAGAAGGGTAAGAATGGTTGCACAACTCGAAGAATATAATGAATGTCACTAAATTGTACACGTAGAAACTGTTGAATTGGTGTATGTTCTGCTGTGTATATTCTCAACAACAACAAAATAAATAAAATTTAGAAAAAAAAATGAACTGAGGAAAAAAAGAAAAGTCCTGAGTCCGTACAAGCATTCTTCTATATTTTTCCTGTTGTTATTGTTATTGTGAGGTGCTGTCGAGTCGTTTCTGACTCATGGTGACCCTAAGTACAATAGAACGTAAATACCTAGCTTTGGGTATTTATCTAGAACATATTTTGGGGTAGGGTGAAGCAGAGTTCTAAATTTTCTTTTTCTCCTCAGTGAAAAACTGGTTGTCCCAGCATAATTTTTGAATAATCTATTTCCCCTTCTCAGATATGGGATGTCACCTCTGCAATAAAGCATGTGCTTGTTTCTGGAATATTTTGTTCCATTGATTAGTTTTGGACACCATTATCACACCACTTTAACTACTATAATATATAACATATTTGATATCTGTTAGGGTAATATCTCCTGCTTCTTTATTCTTCTTTTTCAGAATTGTCTTTGCTATTTTTGGATTTTTACTATTCCAATACTAAGTTTTAGAATGATGTTGGTTAGCGCATATTTGGATCATAATTACACTGAACTTAAAAATACATTCGTGAGTGAGATTGGGGTAGAAGTGACACAGACTCATGATTGTACATCTTCTCATCCATTAATATGTGGTTTATTTCTCTATTCATTTATATTTTCTATTTTTCTCCTAGAAGTTTTAGAATTTTCTCCCTAAAAGTCTCCTGTCATTTTAAAGATCTCTTCCTAGGTACTTTGTAACTTTTTTGTTAATACAGAAAACAAGAAATTTTGCTTTATATTTCATAGTTGATTTTTATTTCATGTATACGAATGCCATAAATTATTGTATATCTTGTATATAGCTAGTGGGCTAATTTCATTTCTGATAGTTTATTGGTGCATCTTATTTCTACCTTTAATTAATGGTTCTAGTGTTCCACTGTTAAGGGTGATTGATATTTGCTACTTATGTATTTATTTTTGCATTGATATCCTCTATCCTGCTGACCAAAATGTTGGCAGTTCAAATCCACCAGCTGCTCCTTGGAAACCCTATGGGACAGTTCTACTCTGCCCTGTAGGGTTGCTATGAGTTGGAATGGCAATGGGTTTTTTTTTTTTAATAGGACCCTACTATAGAAATTCTTGGAGCTTTGGTGTCACAGTAGTTAAGAGCTCAGGCTGCTAACCAAAAGGCTGGCAGTTCAAATCCACCAGCCGCTCCTTGGAAACCCTGTAGGGCAGTTCTGTTCTATCCTATAGGGTTGCTATGAGTTGGAATCAACTCAACGGCAAGGGTTTTTTTGTTTTTTATAGAAATTCTTTTTCTTAATATAAAAGTAAAGAATTTTAAAATCAGGGATGGATAATGAATTTCATCAAATGCTTTTTCTATACCTGTGAGATGATATTTTCCATTTCCTTCATTAATATTCTGAATTCCATATATCATTAGATTTTCTGATGTTGAATCATCTTTGCATTTCGGAGATAAATTCTATTTGGTCATGATGTATTTATTATTATTTTTATATACTGATATACTTTATTTGATAATATTTATGTTTGTGTTGCTATAACAGAAATACCACAAGTGGATGGCTTTAACAAACAAATTTATTCTCTCATAGTTTAGGAGGCTAGAAGTCCGAATTCAGGGCAACAGCTCTAGGCAAAGTCTTTCTGTCTCTGTTGGCTCTGGGGGAAGGTCCTTGTCTCCTTCCAACATGTAGGACTGGCTTTCCTTGGAGATCTCCATGTGTCTTGGCATCAGTCTTCCTCTGGGTTTAGGAGGTTCTCAGTGCAGAGATCCCTGGTCCAAAATACTCTCAATCTGTCTCTCTTCTGCTTTTATCTCTTTAAGATAAAAGGTGTGACTCAAGCAAGAGTGGCGCATCCCACCTGATCTTCATTAACATAACCTAATCATGCCTCATTAACCTAACGGATAACTCACTCCCAATTGGGACCTTAACCACACACAAACTCATTGCCATCTAGTCAATTCCGACTCATAGCAACCCTACAGGACAGAGTAGAACTGCCCCATAGGGTTTCCAAGGTGCTGCTGGTGGATTCAAACTGCAGACGTTTTGGTTAGCAGCTGAGCTCATAACCACTACACCATCAGGGCTCCGCCGCAGGCATACAGGCTGGGATTTGCAACACGTAATTACATCAGATCACAAAATGGAGGACAACCACACAGTACTGGTTATCATGGCCTAGCCAAGTTGACACATATTTTGGTGGGGCACAATTCAATCCATGACATTCTGCATCTGTGCTTATAAATGAAGATGGCTTGTAGCTTTATTTTCTGTTACCCTTTTCTGGTTTCGTTGTCAGAAATAAGAATAACTTTATAAATCATCTGAGTAGCTTTCCAACTTTTTCTATATTCTGAAATAATTTTCATAATAAGAGTTAACTGTTTTCTTAAATATTTGCTAGATTCGCCTGTAAAATGATGTATCTCATAGTGTTTTAGGGGTCATACTTTGAACCAGATTGTTATATTGGGAATATGCTACCTTTGTAGTTTTTCTTAGATCCACTTTGGATATTTTTCCTCTCTAGAAAATTGTTCTTTTCATTCATATTTTCAAAATTAATGATGTCAAGACTCATAAGATTCTCTTTTCAGATTGAGAACTCTCTACTTTGTACATTATTTCATTCCTACTATTGTTTATTTTTACCATTTTCTTGTGATCAGTTATGTCCATGATTTGTTGCTTTTATTAGTCCTTTCAAAGAATGTTTTTGGTCATCATTCTCTGCTTTGTATGTATTCTCTTTCATTAATTTCATTTTTATTCTTTATTTCTTTACTACTTCTCCTTCTTCCTCTTCTTTTATTTTCTAGCTTCTTGAATCAATGTTCTCAAGCAATTTGCAACTGGCTGCTAACCTAAAGACTAGTGGTTCAAACCTACCAGCAGCGCTGTGGAAGAAAGGCCTGGCGATCTGCCTCCATAAAGATTATAGCCAAGAAAACCCTATGGAGCAGTCCTATTCTATAAAACATGTGGTCACTATGAGTTGGAATGGACTCCATGGCAATGGGTTTGGGTTTTTTGTTCAGTGAATGTTTAGTTCATTTATTTTCAATAACTCTTTTTTTTAATACAATGAAATATCCCTGTTAGGCTTCTTTAATGCTTTTCACCCTAAATTCTATTTTTTTTTAATTAAAAATTGATATTAAAAAAACCTGTGAAAATAATAATAAAAAAAACCCAGACCTGTTGCTGTGGAGTTGATTAGACATTCTGATGGGTTTGTCACCAGCACCCAGGTTCAGAACAGAATAGCAATATTACTCTAGAGACTCCTGTGATTATTGTTATGTGTCAACTTGGCTAGGCCATGATTCTCAGTAGTATGTAACTATCCTCCATTTTGTGATCTCCTGTAAGTAACATAATGTAATCACCTCTGTGATATATGATGTGATCAGCCAATCAGTTGTAAGGGAAACTTTCCTCAGGGGTGTGGCCTGAACCCAATATATATACGGATCTTCTGGAAAAGCTCGCTTGCTTGCTCTGGATCCTACCTCTGTTTTGTCATCATCTGACCTCTGGTGTTTGGAATTTGACCCAGCAGCCTGCTGTCTGATCTGCTGATCTTGGGTTCATCAGCCCCTGCAGCTACATGAGTCAGGAGAAGCCTCCCATTTGATGCTTGACCCACAGACTTGAAACTTGCCAGCCTCTCCAACTGCGTGAGCCTTTTCCTGGAGATAAATCTCTCTCAATATGTATGCTTCCCTGGTTTTGCTTCTCTAGAGAACCCAACCTAAGACAGGCTCCCTTCATGCTCCGACTCATAATAACCTCGCTTTTTCCCAAAGGTTACCACTATGACCTCTAACATTATAGATTACTCATCTTCCTTTTGATCAACATATAAATGAAATTATACTATAGATATTTTGAGTCTGGTTAATTCTGCTCAATGTTTATAAAATCTATTCCTGTGTTTGCATGTAAGTTTTGTTTATTTTCATTGCTGTATGTGAAACAGCTGGATCATAACATGCATACATTCAATTTTAGTAGATAGTGCCAACATGGTTTTCCAATGTGATTGTAGTGATTCACATTCCCTCTAGTAGAGTATGAGAATTTTCATTGTTCCGTATCTTCACCATCGCTTGTATTGTCAATCTTTTGAAATTTTAGCCTTTCTGTTGAGTGTGTAGCAGTGTCCCATTGTGTTCTTTAATTGGTAGTTCCATAAAACTTTTCAAACATTAATTTTGAACCTCTCTGTATTCTTTCTTTTAGGTTTAGTTTTAAACACTACCTTGAAGATACACTCTGCTGTGGTTGGGTTACCCACCCAGGTCCGGATGATTCAGTAGCCTCAGGAGGACAGCCAGCACCAACTGAGGAATATCACAGAGTTGCAGGCTTAGCCATCATCAATACCTGGGCAAGAGCTGCTTTCCAGAGTGGAGTTCCCCTGGGGAATCAGCAAACCCAAGAAAGACTACTGTCTTATTTGCTTAAAAGTCAGCTGGTGGTTCCTGCTGGCTCACAAATATACCAACCCATTTTTTTTTTTTTAAATAACTAACATTTTCCAGGATCCTTAACTATCTAAAACTTACCTAGAAACATAGGAAGTGACTGCTTATTAACTTGAAACTATGAAGTCTAAGGTCAACTGTGCTCAGAACCCAACTTGTAGCATAATGATATTTCATCCAACCAAAGAAGAGTTTAATGATTTTGATAAATACATTGCTTATATGGAATCCCAAGGTGCACACCGAGCAGGCCTGGCTAAGGTAATTCCACCCAAGGATTGGAAAGCCAGACAGACCTACGATGATGTCAATGACATCCTAATAGCCACTCCTCTGCAGCAGGTGGCCTCTGGGCGAGCAGGTGTGTTTACTCAGTACCATAAAAAGAAGAAAGCCATGACCGTGGGGGAGTATCGCCACTTGGCTAACAGTGATAAATACCACACTCCACCACATCTGGATTTTGAAGACTTGGAGCGAAAGTACTGGAAGAACCGCCTGTACGATTCCCCGATTTATGGGGCTGACATCAGCGGCTCCTTGTTTGATGAAAACACTGAACATTGGAACCTCGGAAACCTGGGAACAATTCAGGACCTGCTGGAGCAGGAATGTGGGGTTGTCATCGAAGGCGTCAACACGCCCTACCTGTACTTTGGCATGTGGAAGACCACCTTCGCTTGGCACACGGAGGACATGGATCTCTACAGCATCAACTACCTGCACTTCGGGGAGCCCAAAACGTGGTACGCGGTGCCGCCGGAGCACGGCCGACGCCTGGAACGCCTGGCCAGGGCGCTTTTCCCAGGCAGTGCGCGGGCCTGTGAGGCCTTCCTGCGTCACAAGGTGGCTCTCATCTCGCCCACCGTGCTCAGGGAGAATGGCATTCCCTTCAGTCGGATCACCCAGGAGGCTGGCGAGTTCATGGTGACATTCCCCTATGGCTACCACGCTGGATTCAATCACGGTTTTAACTGCGCGGAAGCCATCAATTTTGCCACCCCTCGCTGGGTTGATTACGGCAAAGTGGCGTCTCAGTGCAGCTGCGGGGAGGCCAGGGTCATGTTTTCCATGGACGCCTTCGTGCGCATTCTGCAACCCGAGCGCTATGAGCTGTGGAAACAGGGGCAAGACCGGGCGGTCGTGGACCACACGGAGCCCACGACGCTGGCCAGCCCGGAGCTGACCGCCTGGAGGGAGGCCAGGGCACCCGCTAGAGCCACCTGGGGCCTGAGGCACCTCCCACCCCGCCGGGCCCCACGCCCCCCTAGGCCTGTGGCCTCCGGCGGTAGACACCGCCTCTGCGCCACTGTGGGCCCTGCTCCCCCGTGCTCCTCCACAGCCCGCGGTGCTACTGTAGAGCCTGAGGTGGCTGCCACCGCCATGGCCCCCAGCTGCGCGGAGCCAGGCCGGACCCCACCACCTACCCCGGGTCCGTCCTCCTCCCGCCATCTCCAGCGTTCACTTGGCAGAAGGGGTCGTGGTCGTCGTCCCCGAGAATTTGGGGCTAAGGAGCAAACCGTCCAGGCCCCAAGCAAGAGGCGCCTTTCTGTGGACACAGCGCGTACATCTCCAGGGCCTGAGGCTCAACCCCTATCTGGAGATGGACCTTTGGTGGACCACCCTGCACCTCTGAGTCCTGGACCCCAGCATCCTGCTAAAGCTTCTGGGTGCTGTTGTGCCCCGCCCCACTAGCTGCAGGAGCCACCTTTGTACCCCACTGCTCTTCTGTGTGGAGGCCTGTCAAGACGTTTACATCTCAGAACTTTGGGACACCAAGTTTGCAGGACACTGGTTGTGCATGAGAGCGCCCCTTTGGTGACGCCCCTGGATCCTGCTGCGTCCCTGGTATTTACCAAGTCCGCCATACCATATTCTCCCTTCCCGACTCTGGAATGTCTTTGGACACTGCTAACGTCTGTGTCACCAGCTGAGGTTGCATCCACTGACACTCTCTTGTGTCTAAGAACTGGATACTGCTGAGGTTGCTGGAACGTCATCCTCCAGGCCAGCTCTGGACCCTGCTGCACTTCTGAATCGTGGGCTTGGGTTCCCCTTCAACCTCTGTCTCTCTTCTCCTCCTTCTTCCCCTCGCCTTTTCCTTGCAGAAACTATGCCCTTTTGACCAGTTCGTTCAACAGATCCTCAGAAACACTTTATGACCTTACTGAGTTATTGATGTATTAAAAATGTGTCACCACCAGTGTTTGTTCACACATATATTAAAGGTAACTAAAATGTTAAAATCTGACTTTATTTCTGAAATTGTAATTTCAAAGAATTGGGGGAGGGGGGTAATATTCTTTCCTGCACTTTTCTTAGTAATTATTTGAAAACATTTAAAGCAAAGACATTTTTTATGGGCTGGTTCCATGGTGTGGTAGTAGTCTCCACTCACAGCTTTTTCAAAGCTATGTATTTCTCACTGTTGATTGATTCAGCCCAAAGTCCACAAGTAAATGAACAAGATAATTTCAATTGGCAATACGTGTTGGGAAGAAACTAAAGTGGGATGAGATGATCGATCAGGATGGGCAGGGGCCGGCCTAGAGAAGGTGGTCAGGAAGGCTCACAGAGCAGGAGACCTTTGGGAGACCTGATAAGAAAGGAAGAAAGGAAGCTCCAGGGCAGGGTCTTCTACTTGGAGGAAGCAGCAAGTGCAATTCACCTAACCCAATGAATGTAATTATCTGTACAGGGGTGCCTTTGGGACTCCTTCATGGGATTTTAGTGTCTCTGATACAGTATACTTTTAAAAGGCCTTTTCATTGGGAGAAAGATGTGGCAGTCTGCTTCCGTAAAGATTTACAGCCTTGGAAACCCTATGGGGGCAGTTCTACTTTGTCCTATAGGGTCTCTATGAGTCAGAATCAACTTGAAGGCCATGGATTTGAATTTTGGGTTTATTTTCAGCTCCACCCCTGCCTTCAGAGATACTTGGTGTTCAAATTCAAGAATTCTGGCATTGTATCTATGTGGTAAATGGTGGGGTGGGGTTGGTGGCTAGCTCTCATTGGAATTTCCCTCTGGGGCCACCAGTGTTTCACCTGCCTCTGCTCTGCAGTCAGTTGCTACTCTTTCATCCACATTTGGTTTCAGTTCAACCTAGTTCAAGATTATGGACGTCATCTGGTTTCAAGTAAGCTTATGCTTCCTTTTCTTTTTCTGCAAAAGGTAGAGTGAGCAGGATGGCCTATAACCAGCTCTCTTGGGATTAAAGACTGCAGTTTGCTTTCTCATTAAGTTCACTTTTCCACCAGGGAGAAGTATTTTATGCCCCTCCTAACACCTCAGACTTCCAATACCTTCTTTGCCCATTCCCAGCTGATAACTTTCTCTACTTCACTGAGAAAAGAGATGCACTCCGTCCCGAACTCCCTCAGCTTCCCACCACAAGCCCACCACCACCCCTGCATGTACCCCTACTCTACCTTTTCCCCTGTCACATGTCCCTGCTCTTGCTAAAGGAGAAACCTAGAAACCTCATTTGTACTCTTGAGTCCTATCACCTCTTGCCTCCTCTAGGACATCCATCCTACTGTGCCTCTCTCTGCCATCCTCCCTTTCTCTTAGGGCACTCCAAGCAGAATGTAACTGTCCTCTACCAAGCTAAGTAATCACTGGACTTGAGATGAAGTTGTGTGACCCAGATAGGGTTCCCAGGTAAAATTCAAGATACTGAAATATTGTATGGGACTGCTTTATATTAAAACATTATTCGTTGTTTATCTGAAATGCAAATTTAACAAGGTGTTCTGTATTTTTATTTGCTAAATCTGGCAGCCCTAAATCCAAGTCAACTATTGGATCTTGATTATTAACACAGACTCCAAGAAATCAGTCCATGACACATGACTTACACATTACCAGCTCTATGTGAATGATGCCTCAATTGGTATCTCTAGCTCTGCTCTCTGCCCTGAGCACCAGATTTATATATCCAGCTGTTTACTTCAGTGTCAGGGGTCCCCAAGACTACCTGTAGGTTCAATAATTAGCTAGGAGGACTCACAGGCTCAGCATACAGTCGTACTTACAGCTATGATTTATTACAGCTACAGGATAAAAAGCAAAATCAGCAAAGGGAAAAGGCATATGGGGCAATGTCCAGAAGAAAGCAGAGTCGAGCTTTCAGAGTCCCCGTGTAGTCACACAGGACACTCTTAATTCCCCCCAGCAATGAGTTGTGACAACATGTGTGAAATATGGTCTACCAGGGAAGCTCATTAAAGACTCCGTGCCCAAAGTTTTTATTGGGGGCTGGTCATGTAGCACCTTCTGCCTGGTATGCACCAAAATTTCAGACTCCCAGAAAGGAACCAGGTGTTCAGCATGAACCATATTGTATGCACAAACAATTTAGGCACAGTGAGTCATTCTTAACAGGGAATGGTGGGGACCCTTCTGAAATCCAAGTGTTACCCAACTCTTTAAAATATGTGTCCTTGTCCAACGTGCTCAGACTTGCCAATTATCTGGACGCGAGTCTTTAAGAGAAAATAATTTTATTGCAATGCACAGAGCAAGGGTCCAGGAGGAAGTTCCGATCCAGCTCCCTGAGCTATGGGGAAGCAGGGCTTATATGTGATTTGGGCTGCAAAATGGTGGCCTCGCAAGGCGTACTGGGGAGGGAAAATTCTAGAAGGTGGCCAGAAAACAGGAAGGGACCTGGTTCTTGTCGGACCTCTTGCTTTGCTTCGGAATCGGGTCTGAGTGATGATTTTCCTTCTGATTCATTCCATCTGTTGCTGTGTCCGCTGTTGAAGTCAATTAGTGTTCGCAGCTGGCCTTTCTGCGCATGCAGGGTGGGCCAAATCTGGCTTGGGCTAGTTTAAGGACTAATGGAAATTTACTGGCATTTGTAGGATCAGGTACACAAGTTCTCAGACACCAGCCAAGACAAACCTCTTAAGTCCGAAGTGAACAATTTTTCCCTCTCAAACCTGTACTTCTGCAAGCAGTCTTTCACATCTCAATGATGAACACAAACACCCATTTAAATTTCCAGCTAAAATCATAGCTATCATATTTTGTTCCTTTTTTAG